AAAATTTGAGAATACTAATGTTGCTTGAACAAAGAATGAATTTTAAAAGTTTTAAATGCTTTATAAAAGTAATAACACTATTATAGTGTTATTACTTTTGTAATGCAGTTAGTGACTAGAGTGTTATTACTTTTGTAATCGTAAGTTTATTGTTTTATTTTTAATTTTTCGCTAACAAATTTAATTTGATTCTCCCCATAAAAACAAGGAACACAGTTTTGTATAAACTAAATTTTTGAATACTAGATATTTTTCCAGATTTTGCGTTTAGCATTCGCTTAATTCAACCCTTCTTGTTACATCAAAATTATACAAATAAATTTTACAAACACATTGCAATTTGCATGTTTGCTATCCTCTTAAAAAAAAATTAAGAAATGGAAAATCATTCTTTTTATTGTAGACTTCAAACTGTTTTTTTTTTTTGCTTCGCCTTATCTAATATTATTGCTGAATGTAACTCTAAAGAAACAAAAATAAAAACAGCACACAAATTATTTAAATTATTATTTATCTTAATTTTTTTCTTATTTAATCTCTTTTTATTTTGTTATTTTTGTTTTTTTGTTTTTGAAACTTTTTAAGCATTATTATAAAACTTGCAAACGGCCGTGTTCACATTTTCTAAAATATTATTATCGCGTTTGGTCATACGAGACGAAAAACCGCACGCCTTTCCTGGGAAGGCTTGATATATATATATATATATATATATATATATATATATATATATATATATATATATATATATATACAAATAGTATTGCAGTGGAGTGCTGCTACATCGACTGAGGGTTTGGGATGGGGCAGCAGTCGTTTCATTCATCACTCTTTGTTTTTTATCTTCTTTTTCTATAAAAGCTGTATACCCATATAAGGTAAGCAAAAAGTGAGAAAGTGCTTATAAAAATACGCTTTAGTAAGTGTATATAAATATATGCATATATATATATATATATATATATATATATATATATATATATATATATATATATATATATATATATATATATATATAAATATATATATATAATATATATATATTTATACATATATATATATATATATATATATATATATATATACATATATATATATATATATATATATATATATATATATATATACATATAGATACATATATATATATATATATATACATATATATATATATATATATTTATATATATATATATATATATATATATATATACATATATATATTTATATATATATTTAAATTTACACACATTAGGGGTGGGAATTTTTCTTTTAAGTGATGGCCCTATAACTATTGGAGTCTTACCTAAAACTCACAAAAACATAAAAATAAATGTAAATGCAAAAAACCCACGCAAAATCCATTTTAAAGTATTGTTAAAAGTTTGAAAATTTGCTTACATAACTCATATTATTTTACTATTATAATTTGTATATATTTAAAAATACACTTGTACTTTAGATGTATAAGATATCAGAGTATAATTTAATTGGACAAATTGATCGCCCTTCCAATATTTTAAAGTCAAAATAATGCATATATGGAAATTTGATTGAGAAGCCACTGATGGATTTTTCAAAAATATGTTAAACAAAGCAGATATTAAGAAGATATCATTTCTTTTTACAATTAGGTAATATTCCTAGATCAATTGATGTTATTCAAGAAATCGCAATTGAAGTTTGGCAATTATGGAATTAAATGACGATACCATGTTTTACGGAGAAAAATGTGCAAAAAAAAGTCAAGTTTTTTTGTTCGAAATTATTAACTTGTGATTAAATCATCACAAAGTACAAATATAAAAATAAGAAGATAAAAATCTAGGCTAAATTATTTGACATATTGCCTAAAAATGCTAAATTTAAAAATCTAAAAGACAAACTCTTTTAAGAACTTCAGAAACTGTCCCTTGAGCGCAAAGATCAGTGCAGCAAAGATTGTGACAGCTCTTATTACTAGATATTTCCGAGACCTACCACCTAAAAAAAAGGAACTTGAAGCAAAAGTCTTTTATAACACAGGCAGACAATTCTAGTAGTGAAAGTTTAGAAGATATTAGCACAACTGATGATTACACAATCCTATTGAAACCCGCAAAGATCACTTATAAAATGGTAGCTAAATTATCTGAAATCGAAGGATATCCAATAAGTTGTATGGCAAAGATTGCAGAAGCTGTACTCAATGCAGTTAGTGAGACATCGATTTGCAGATTCACAGTCCAAAAAGTATCTACATTTTTATATGCGGTAGTGGTGTAGTGGTAGAGCACTCGCTTCATAAACAAGTGGTTCCAAGTTCGATCCCCACCACGTCCCTGGTAGTACCACGCTCAACTCGTTTCTCCGCACAGCGGCCTTGTTCATCAAGGTTCGTGTTTCGGAGTTATAGAGTTGAGAGAGGGTTATAACCACAAATAAGTAGCCTCCTCATCTTCTCGGCCTTGAGAAGGTGAATTAAAATAAAAAAATAAAAAAAAATCTACAACACTTATGTGTTGTAGATATTTTTTAAGAATTTTTTATTAAAAGTAAAAAATATTGTAGGAATGATTTTACGGAGCTGGATTTGTTAAGTAAAGGATACAAGCCTTATCGAGACACAATGAATTTACCCGCGATTCGCTACAATTCATTTTTCTAAACCAGAGCCTATTTCAAATTTATAATGGAATTCAAGAGCTATCTATTGCTTGAAATATATGCTTTTGACAAAAAAAAAATCAATAAAAGAGATGTGCAATTTTATTGTAGATCACTGGGCCAAGCAACGGTTATCTTGCAGAAGAAGTGTTAAAGATATAATGAAGTTAAAATTGGCATTAACTGGTAGTTGCCTTGAGTGTTTAAAAAGACAATGTAATATTAGGAATGATTGATCACCAGACATTGATTAGAGAAATAAAGTGTGCAAAAGGTCAATTGCGAAAGTTCTATTATTTCTTTAAAGAAACATCATCAACTTAGAGGCCAAATTTCTGAGACACTGAATAAACTTTGATCTGCCTATGTGTGTTATTGTAATAAAATAATTAAGTGTTTGAACTAAATTTACTTGCATGACGCAATTTTTAAAGACTTATAACTAAAAATTTATAACTTAACAAACATTATATTTACCCCAGTTATGTAGATTTTTATGTGTAGTTTGTTAATACTAGGTAAAATGCGAACTGCGAACCGCGAACTGCGAACTGGTAAAATGCAAACTTTTTGGCGAACCATCGTCCTATTTGTTGTTAATGATGTAATGTTTTATTTCCATTAAATAGCTCATTTAGCCATATTTAAAGGACTTTTAAGCGAAAAAATTATATAAAAAAAATAAAAGGAAATTAAGTGAAACTAGACAAATACAACATAAAAAATTTTTTTTTTTTAATTATTTGATAGACTGCCTGCCCAAACCAAACCCTCAGTCATAACAATAATAGTATATGTATATGTGTGTGTTTATATGTGTAAAACATGTATGTATATGTATTAAAACATTATATAATGAAATGTAAAACACGGTTTTAACTACGGGGCTTAGTGATATGACTACTGTTGTCTTCTTTTTCATGGCTCCTGCCATGTAAATTCAATTTGTACGATTCATTATTGTAACAATATCTAAACGGCAAATATATATCTTTAAAAAAAAAAAAAAAAGGTCTTTAAAATATGATGTTTTGGTTGGCAAAAAAATTCGCATTTTACCAGTTCGCAGTATGCGGTTCGCATTTTACCAACAACCTAGTTTGTTAGGAGACGAGTCACGCTAGACAATTTAGAAAGTGGGGGCCCTTTAGGGGTTTCAAATTTAGGGATTTATTTCCAAATTCAAATTTAGGGGTTTATTTCCAAATATAAGGATTTTTTTTAGTTTTATAATTAGTAATTGAAGGTTTTTAAGTTTTTAACGCATTAAAGACAGGTTGGGTGGGGGTAGCTCAGAACCTCTAGCCACAAGTATTTACAACCTTATTTCATATGGTATTGACATTCTTATGTAAATTTCATACTTTGCTTTTTTGAACAAATATTGTAGTTGATAAGGTCATTCTATTTTAAAAACAAGACTTTACAATCTTTTGCAGCAATTAATTATTGAAAAATTTTATCATCTCAAAAAAACAAGATTTGCGAAGAGGGTTTATGAATCTGTTATGGTTGAAATTATTTTTAAAACACTTTTTATAATATTTCTCCACCAGTAGAAAGAGGGCTTAATGATTTTATGAAAAAAATGTAAATTCCCATCCCTAATATATCTCTTAGCTTGTCTATGGTATTTAAATTGACAAAATTAAAGTTAGATTATAACAAAACACATAAATTTAATTGAGGGAACTAATTAAACTCAATGTGTTTTTTAAAAACCACAAAAACGCAAATTAAAAGACTAGAATATTTTTAAAAACATTCTGAATGTTTTTATTTTATACGAGGTAGTACTGCTACATTGAATATCTTACAGCATGCTGTTACAAGGAAGAGCCGCTACATCGACTGAGGGTTTGTTTAGGGCAGTCAATCTATCAAAAAATAAAATAAAAACTTATGTATATATATATATATATATATATATATATATATATATATATATATATATATATATATATATATATATATATATATATATATATTATATACAATATGTATGTATGTATATATATATATATATATATATATATATATATATATATATATATATATATATATATATATATATATATATATATATATATATATATTATATTTATATATTATATTTATATATATATATATATATATATATATATATATATATATATATATATATATATATATATATATATATATATATATATACATATATTATATATAACATAATTTAGGTATAAATAAAAATACACACCTTTTACATAACTTTAAGCATTGAATACTTTAAAATAAAAAAATTAAAACAGCTGTTTCAAGGAAGTTTTAACTTAAAACAGATAAAAACAAAAAATGTTAATAAAACTACGGACCTTGACAAGGCGAGGAAGATATGAGAAAACTGATGTCATAGAAACAGCATTAAAAAGCTGAAAAATAAATGTTATATTTATATATATATGAATATATATATATATATATATATATATATATATATATATATATATATATATATATATATATATATATAAATATATATATATATATATATATATATATATATATATATATATATATATATATATATATATATATATATATATATATATGTATATGTATATATATATATGTATATATATATATATATATATATATATATATATATATATATATATATATATATATATATATATATATATATGTATATATATATGTATATGTATATATATATATGTATATATATATATATATATATATATATATATATATATATATATATATATAATATATATATATATATATATATATATATATATATATATATATATATATATATACAAATACAGTAGAATCCAAATAACTCCGACTTCGAAGGAGTATATATTTAGTATATATTTATTGTCTGACTTAGCGAATGTCCGAATTAAGCAAAGCTCTTAAGTCAAACTTTTTGAAAATGTCAGACTTATTAAAATTTTGAGACTTATTAAATGTTTTTGATATATAAATACTATTTCGATATATAAAATGTATTTAGAAACCTAAAAAAAGTTTTTAATAAGCTCCTAAGAATTTTGTAAAGAAAGTTCAGTAAATTAACAATGCACTAGCCAACAAAATTTTGCAGCATCGTTTCTTTTTTTTACATCCAAAAGTCGTGGAAAAAAAAAAAAATTTACAAATTAATAGCAATTAGTTTTCTCACTTAAATGTGCATTGATAAAAACAGTAAAGTTTAGCATAAACATTTGATAACAAATTTAAAATTTGCCTGTGTTTCTAGCGCAATTTATAAAGTATTTCCTTTATATATTGACTAAAAAAATTACAAAAAAAATGTTTACCATATTTTTATTTTTGTTATATTCTTATCTACTTTTTTCCTCGACTTGTATCAAATTTGGTAGTGGAAAATAACAAACACACTAAAAACAGGAAAACAGTATATCAGGAAAACAGTAAGATCGTTTATGTAGATAAGAAACAAAACAGGGCCCAGGATGGAACCTTGGGGAACCCCAGAAGTTACTGGAAATAAAGAAGAGTGTTGGCCTTCAAGGATGACTTTAATAAACCGGTTAGAAAGAAATGATTTGATAATCTCAAAAACTTTCCCAGAAACACCATATGAAGCAAGCTTATGGAGAAGACCAGCATGCCAAACTTTGTCAAAAGCTTTAGATATTTCGAGAGCAATAGCCCTAGCCTCACCGCCTCCATCTAATGCACAATAAAATCTTTCAGTTACAGCAGTTAGCAAGTCGGCCATAGAGTGAGAGGATCAAAAATCGTATTGATTGTCTGACAGTAGTTTATTTGACTCAAGATAAGATATGAGGAATTTGTTGATCAAAGACTCAAAGACCTTGCTAATAACAGAAAGAAGACTGACCAGACGATAATTGAAGGGGTCAGAATTTTCTCCAGAGTTTTTGAATATTGGAACTACAGATGCCATTTTCCAACAAGCAGGAAAACAAGACTCAGTCAATAACTTGTTAAATAGTTTAGAGAGAATTGAGGAAAGTTCTGGAGAACAGTTCTGCAAGACTGTGACAGGAATGTTGTCTGGACCACAAGCTGTAGACGAGTTTAATTGAGATATGACTTTAGCAACAGAAGCCAGAGTGATTAGAATGTTTAACAATGGGTCAACCTGTTTGACTGGAATGGAAGGAAGAGAATGTCCATAAGATTCAAGAGTGGAATTAAAAGTAAAGTTCTTTGCAAATAGTTCTGCCTTATCCTTGGGAGAGGTAATAAGATCAGTCCCATGAATGAGAGATGGAATGTTAGATCTACCCTTGTTAATAATGCTGTTGAAGATTTTCCAAAAGTCTTTAGAGCCTAACTTCTGTGATAAGATGCGAGATTTAGTGAACTGAGAATAATGGAGTTTAAAAAATTGATTACGATTGAATATTGCAGCCGCACAAGAAGGAGAAAACCATGGAGTAGAATGAGGCATGACTTGAAACCAACGAGAAGGAATAAAAGCTTCCATTCCAGCCTGAGTGGTGAAGGTAATTCCATTCCAGCCTGAGGAGTGAAGGTAAATGATTAGGGTTGTCAGGAAAATGAGTCACAAAGTTAACTATTTGAGTAAGAGATTGAGAAACACAGAAGTTAAAGGCTTTAGTGCCAGCAGGATTAGTGGTGTGAGAGCTAAGTTATTCAGTGTGATGGGCATTAAAATCACCAACAACAACAATATTGGCAGAGGGGTAAAGAGAGAGGGCATGGTCAATTTGATCAGAGATAACATCAAAAAGAGTGCAATCATGGGAAGTAGGAGAACGATAAAGAACAAAGAGAAAGGTGATAGAGTGAAGAGGTGCTAGGCGAAAGCACATAAAAGAATGGTCAAAGAATTCGAACCTGATTTCACAACAAATAGGGGAATTAATGCGTATGTATACCCCTAAACCTAGCATGTGACTATTGGAGTCTTTACGAATCAAAGGATAGTAACCATCAACACTGACATCTGAAGAAGGAATTGCAGAATTTAAATTTGTTTCACTGAGTGCAAGCAAGTCTGGTGAATTTCGCAGGAGGTAAAACTGACGGAAAGTTGCTTCGCAGACCGCGAATATTTGTAAAAAATATATTAAAACATTTAGGTAGTGGGGATGGTTTTTTAGGTTTAAAATTTTTGGTTACTTTGGTCATGATTTGGGTTTAATGAGAACTTGACTCATTCATAGATAGAGCACAGCCTCCTAATCAATGAGCTATGCAGTTGTCTCAGTCCTGTTAATTAACCCTAAGCTGTGACATAGGGCTCATTATGTGACTTTGTTAATGCACACCAAAAGCATTAACAGGGACACCATCCATGCGCAACATGGCACTGTTAATACTCTGATATTTTGCAGCTGTTGATGGAATCAGCCTCTTAGAGAGCTACCTCAGAGTTCAGGAAACCTTACTACCAGCCGGCCTCAGAACCATTAAACTGAGTTTTAGAGCTGTACCCTCATATGGAGATAACAGGAAGATTTGCATAGTCATTATCAAGAAGGCATAAGCAAAACTCTATGAGAAGAGTCAAGGAGATCCAGCATTCATCATCCTAGGCAGGAAACAATGTAACACTGGTTACATCTACGCCAGCCTAATAGATGAAGAAGGGGTTTGAGGCTGGTTAGCAGAATTTTTCTGCTTACCCCTAAAGTCTTTGCCTAGGAGGCCTTCTACAAGACAGTAGCTGGATGCAGTTAACATCTGCCCAAGATGAGTATTTTTATCGAGACACCATCTCTAGCCCTTACTCAACCAAGAGCCCCAAGGCAGGGGAATTTTTAGTCAGAGTTTATTTCTCTTAGCCTTTGCCTAAGAAGAGCACACTCTGCAAGGCAGCAGGGCTTGTGGCAGGTAGTACTGGGTTACATGATACCAGTAGCAAGATTGATCTTGATTATCCTGACCTGAACTGGAGTAGTTACTTCCCGCAACAGTACTTTGAGAAAACCAGGTTTGACATTTTGGAAGTGCATTAGGAAAAACACTGCATCTAACAAAATACAGGAGTCTATTGAATAAGTTTACAAATTTCCAAAGAATACTGAAAACCCACACTGTTATGTTAAATTCTTTTGCAACATACAAATTTTGCTTGCTTTTTAACATAGTAATTATTTATCTTTTAACATAACATGGAACAATACGGAATAGTTATACTTGTTTCATGGAATAAAATGGAATAATACGGAACAGTTATAGTTGTTTTAAATAACTTGTTCAATTTTTATTTTTTTATTTTTACATCAGAATATTCAAAAATTATTTTTGTCATAATTTCTTTGAATGAAACAGTTTCATTTTTTAACTAGTAAAACAAACAGTTTTACAAAATTAAATCATTTGAGAAGTTTTTGAGAATTTGAGAACTAAATAAAAATTTGAGAACTAAATAAAAACCTAAAAGTATTTAACTTTATTTTTAGCAAAAATTTATACTTTGCATGGGCTTTATTTCGCCCTGTAAACTGATTTGCACAGGTGTGGAGGCAGGCACGGGCTATAGTTCGCCATTTCTGCTGAAGCCTATACATATGTGGATATCATTCTCCAGAAAGGTAGCAATGTACTGTCAACACTAATTTTTTCTTTCAAGTTAATACTATTTTTACTTTTAATTGGTACAAATTATATATTTACAGCTTATACACTGTATATATACAGCTCAAATTAAAAATTGAGTTTTCTTTTTTTTTTTTTTTTATGGTAAACATTGCTTTTTTCTCAAAAAAAAAAAAACAACCAACTTTCAGCAAAATTTTGCTGGGACGTAAGACTGCCCAAATTTTTTCCTAGAATAAGCACTGTATATATATACAGGCCTCAGCGGGAAAAAATGAAAGCGGAGAAAAGCTCTCTTAAAACAAACAAGGCGACCTATGCGAGCTGCTCTTCTAAACAGCTTCTTAGGAGAGCTTTTGGTTTTTGCGAGAGCTTTATGTTTATTCATTAAAAAAATTGCTTAATAATTACAAAATTTTGGTTTTATACTTGTTACAAGCCCAGGGCGCAACAAATTTTTTTTTTTTTTTAATGATTCTTGATTTTTGTACCTTTATATAACGATGAATGTCTAATTTAAGAGATATATGTCATATAAGGAAGTTTTATTTTCAAATTATTTTTATCCTAGCTAATAAGTTATTAGATATAACAATGATGATTATTGAATTTAATTAATTTTTATTTCTTATTTTTCTTAATGTGAAATAATATGTAATCCATATTAAAAACACTTTTAAAATGTTTGAAAATAATATTTAAGTTTTGCTGATATATATACAATCTAATAGAATATATAACTAATATGTTTATTATAGTTTTTATTTTTTATTGTGCGTTTAACAGCCTCAATAATATGATATTTTTAGTAACTTATTATAAGTACTAAATAAAGTATGATTTT